ATGAAAGCCACAGCTGCCATCCAATTTTCAGGGGTATTTCAGGAGATACCAGACAACACTTTGGAGGTCATAGCAGGAGGATGCAGAGGACAGCAAACACAGGAGCTGGGATTACTGAAGCTAGTATATGGTCAGCTCCACAAAGACAAGTCTGAGTCTTGAATGGTTTATCCGCCCATTTGAGTCCGACACCTTATTCAAGACTTTCAGGTAGTCCCCAGCAATATCCCTAGTGAGAATGGACTGTGCAGACTCAGCGATTAGTCACTGGAGACCACTGTAATCCTGTAAATACAGGCCATAAGACTGTGTTTGACCTAAGTGATGTCTTCAGTAGATTTCCACTCATCAGTCTCGCAGAGGATGACAAGTCCATGACCACTGCAACAGGAAAACCCGTGAGTGCTGTGCTACAGAAACGTTCTGCCAGCTTAACTAACCACAGGGGAGGAAAAGTAACAGCAGGGACAAGCATGATTCCTTGGGAATCCAAGAGTAAGCGTTTCAAAGTGTCCCAACTCCATGCATTTCTTTGGCAAAGAATGTACAGTCTTCACAAGCGGAGGAGTCTGACAACCCTGCTGTCTGCTGTGGGATTTTTTTTCCTTTTGCCTATAAGATCATCTCCATTCTCGCCGGAGCTTCGAGCTGCTCGTCTCAAGCTGCTCAGGCACATAGAAAGCACAGAAACGACTGAAACTCAATCTAATGAGAAGTCACAAACAGCACTCTGTGAACATACCAGTGGCTCCTTCGTTCAATCCACTTCATAAACAGCATCTAAGGGTCTCTGATGATGGGTAACATATGGAGTCATAACAAAGGGCCTCTGAAGGCATTCACAGGAAAGGAACAGAGCCAATGATGAAAAAGTCTTTCCTCTTTCTCTTTATAGATCAACACCACCACATGGGCAAGATTACCAGTGACGACTGATCCACAGAATTAACAGGGATGCCTAAACTTTGTCTCTCACAGGAAACCTATCAGCCATCTATATCAATTCAGCAGTGTATTCTAACGCAGTCACTTCACTACGTACAGGCCCAAACCAGAATGATGACAGGCAGCCAGGAAACAGAGGAGTGCTCTGAGGTACAGCCTTCCCCTGCCACACAAAAGTTTAGATATGACAATGAGCAACCACGTAGAAGCTTCTCAGAGTTAAGGAATGAATTCTACAGAAAGATCAAACACTGCTTCACAAGAGAAATCCTCACTAATAAAAATTTCCCTGATGAGTGAAATCTGAAAGCCCCTGAGAACCCCGGCTCCCTCCCTCTGGCACTTGTTTGAGGAAACATCACAGAGCAGTGATTTCCAAACTGTAGTCAAGGGCGCATCAGCAAACTGCTGAGTACACTGTGGTGGTCTGGAAAGCGCTCATCCGTCACGTGGTGGTGGTTCCATCTCCCTGTTTCCAACTTCTAATTGCATTAAACAAGTTTAACTCACATTTAGTACTTCTAATTTACCCTCAAAACCACTGAAGTTGCCACAGAGATGCTACCCACCATTAGATTGCAGGGAGACAGTGACTGCTGTGTAACTGAAACTGTGAAAAATATTTCTTTAAATATTTGGAAACTAGTGCCAGAAAGGAAGCAGGAAAACACCTTATCCTTTTCCACAAAACCAAAATAGGAATGACATTTGTTTTCTGAATTGCACACTGTGTGCCATGTTAAAGAGACAAGCATGATTACAGAATTAAAAAGTTGGGCAAGCCTCCTTGTGCAGCTTTGCACACTTGCTTATTTTTGGTTGCAGTAGAGTATCCACATAAACATTAACACTGTCAGTGCTTTGTGAGACTAGGAGACAGACAGGACAATTCTACATGACTAAATCCTGATTTACATTTTTCATTGTTGAATATGTATTTGTTCATGTAATACCAAGCAAATCAAATAGGCACATATACAAGGGGTTTCCTACTTCATCAGTCAACATACTTCTCCAATACAACCATGAGGTTTCCCCTCGAACAGAAGTCTCCTCCTTCTCAGTTTTGTTTACATTAAAATACATCTCTGGGTGCTACCTTGTGGCTAAGCAAAAAGCATACGCACCCTGTTTTTAAGGCAGTGTGATGGATTTATGACCCCACTCTCCCTTTATAAATGAACCACCTTTCCTTGTGCGTGCGGAAGATGGTCACCGAGCTGCTCACAGAACGATCATCGTCTTGCTCAGTTACGGCTGATCGCTTTTCATCAGTTTTAATCAACATTACCCACTGTATCGAGGCAGCTTAACTCCTTGTCTTGCTTAGGTTTTTCAGGAATCCATGAAGTGTGAAAGTCTTCATTTTTATCAAGTACTTTAGTGTCCCGAGTCTCAAGCACACACCTACTGAAGTTTCTCTTCAGCCTCTCAGTCAGTTCCACCTGTACCTCAGTGTTAGCGCAGGCCAGCGCGCCTTGTTCGAGCCTGATGTCCAGAACCACAAACGCAGAGCACCCCACTGCCAACACGGGCACGGAACTGCGCATTTCCCTGTTTCACTTCACGTTTACAAACAGCTTTTTAACCCACTGGTGGCACACCATCCCGAGGGCCATCGCTAGGTTTCTGTACCAGCTTCTCTGAGCACGGGGCCGGTTCCCAGGACGCCGCACTTGACCCGGGGCCTGCTCGGCTGCCCGTGACCGCGGTCAGTGCCCCCTGCCCCCGGCACGTACCCAACACCTCTAATTTAACACCATTTCACCTCTCCGACCACCACCCGGCCCAGCGCTCGCCCTGTGACAGGCTGCATTTTAATTTTGACCGTGACTCTGTCTCTCCCCGCCCCGCCACCCGGCTCCTCAGCCCCTCTGCCGACTTCCCCATCGCTCTCAGAGCGGAAGGAAAAGAGAATAAAAATTAAAAAAAAAAAAAAGGAAAGAAAGAAAGAAAAAAGCGAAACGCTCCCGAAGTTCAGTTTCGCGGCGTTAACTCGCGCGCGCTCGCTCTGCCATTGTCTCCCGCACAAAAGCCCGCCTGCGCCTGCTTTCCATGACAATGCTTCAGGGGAGAGCCGGGGCGAGAGCCCCAGCCCGCCTTTGTCCGCCCCAAACGAGCCCCCTCGGAGGGGCTGCAGCCCTCGGCGGCGGCCGGCGGGGCGGCCGGGGCCGGTCACAGGCGGGCGCCCATTGTCCGGGGGCCGCCGGGGCTCGGCGCCACACGGCGGCGGAGGCACCGGGGGAGGGACGACTGGGGGGGGGGGGGGGGACCGGGGGGACCCTGCTCGTCCCCGCCGAGGCGGGGGCGCCCTGCCCGGCCCTGCCCGGCCCTGCCCGGCCGAGGGGCGGGCTCTCTGCCGCCGGGGTCTTCCCCGCCCGGCCGCGCCCCGCCTCGGGGCCGTCGCTCCCCGGTTGCGGAGGGGCTTCCCCCCTCGGCGCGGCGGAGCCAGCGTGGCCGCGCTTCCCCTCCGCCAGGGCGCGTGTGGAGCCCGGCCCTCGGCGGCGGCGGCGCCGCGTCCCCCCCGTGCACACACACACACAGACACACAGATATACGCGCACACAGACACACACACACACATTTATACACATAATACACACATATACGCGCACACACACACACACACACACACACACACACACCTCCCTTTCCTCAGCCCTCGCCCTGCCCCGCCGCCGCCCGGCTCGCCCCGCCAAGGGTTAAGGCGAGAGGCCGGCGCGGCGATGGCAGCAGCCCTGTCAGAAACACCCGGTGGGTGCCGCGGGGTGGTGAGGAGAGAGAGAAAAAATAAAATACACTTAATAAATAAATAAATAATAAATAAATAAATAAAAAGAGAGAAACCCCCCGCGCGGGGGCCCTGGGCTCCGTGCGGCCGAGCCCGCTGTCAGGGCGGCCGAGCCCCGGGACGCGCCGCCGCCGCCGAGCCGCTCCTGCGGGCGGCCGGGGGGAGCCGCGGGGCCCCGCTGAGCTCCGGGCCCCGCAGCAGCGGCCCCCGCGGCGGGGCGAGCGCGGCCCCCGCTCGGCGGCTGCCCGCCCCGGGGAAAGCACAATAGCCCCCCCACCCCAGTGACACCGGAGCCCCGGGGAGAAAGGGGGGGGGGGGGGGGGGCTTTGTGAGGAGAATTGAGCGAAATTTACAAAACAAAACAAAAAAAAAATACAACAGAGGGAGAGAGAGAGACGGGGGCAGAGTGGCTCCTCCTCCTCCTCTCCAAAAAGGCCTGTTGGAAAACTGCACACGGCAGCGGCTCCAACGGCACCGTCTCCCTCGCTCTGCCCTGGAGAGAGAAAAGGAGGCGAAAGGCACCGAGCGAGAGGGGGGGATCGCGGCGAAAGGGGGGAAAAGGCCCGATCTCTTTGTGTTACCTGCCGTGAAACCAGTCCTTGCAGGCATCGCATTCAATCATGAAGCGGGTTACGTCGTAGGGCAGCCTACAGATGCAATAGACGGGCACCGTCGCCATGTTAGCTCCCTTCAAAACAACGCTGGACTCCCAGACAAGCGAGCGGGGCTCGCTGCGGCTCCTGCCGCTAGGTAGCTTTTGCTGCTTCTCCTTCCAAAATGCCAGCAAATTTGCAATGTCGAGAGACGGAGCGGGGAGGGGGGGGGGGGGGGGAAGGGGGAAGAAAAGAAGAGGGGGGGGGGGAAAAATCAGATAATGCAATTACGGCTCCTCAAGGGCGAGCGAGCAATGTCAGAAAAATAATAAAGGGCTTCGCAAAGTTTGGCTGCATGGTTCCTCCGGCTCCGCGAGCGCCGACCGACCGGACTGGGGCTTTTTTGTTGTTGTTGTTGTTAAATGATTATTATTCAAAATGTTTGGCGAAATGCATTATATTGCATGCCCCCTGGTGACAGTACAGTACCGAGGCTTTTCATAAACACTCCGAAATGTAGCCCTTTCCTTGTAATGTCCTTACGTCAGCTTGCAACATTGCAATATTTCCTCTGCTGGGGCTGGGGCGGGCGGCGGCGGGGGAGGCGAGGCGAGGCGAGGCGAGGCGAGGCCAGGCGGCAGCTCCGCTCCGCTCCGCTCCGCGCCGGGTGAGTTCGGGGGGCTCCCGGGGCCCGAGGGGGGTCGCCTTGTGCCTGGGGCTCTCCCCGGTGCGGTGCCCCGGGAGGGACTTTGTAAAGTGGCCCGGGAACGGCGGGGGGTTGCCCAGGGATGGGGGCAGGAGGGAGAGACCCCCCCCACGGTGCCCCCCAGCACCCCCCGGTGCCCCCCGTCCTGCAGCCGGGCTCGGAGGCCCCCACCCATGGGCAGGCTCTCGCTCCGCGGCCAGGTGCGGAGCATCCGCGCTTCCAAGCGGTTCGCAGCCGCCGTGCTGCCCCCTCGGCTGACAGGACACCCCGCTGGGTAGTGCCCTGGGGGTGGTTAGGGGCCTCTGGGCACAAGCTGCACGTGTGTTGATTTATATTAAAAAAAAAAAAAAAATTATAAATGGCCTGCTAGTTGTTTGGAGTTATTGCAGTGCGTGTGACGGTACCTGCCTCTGCGTGTGCTGGTCCGGTCACCACAAGCCACGGAGCAAGCAGGGCTGCTACAGCAGAGGTGAAAATAAACACCCTGTGCCTGCAAAGCACCGACCCAAAGCCGGCAGGTATGGGCTCCGTGCTGTGGGGTGCCCCTTGGACACCCCTGTGTAGCCCCAGACTACAACTGCCCACAGACACCGGCTGCCTCATGGACAGAGCAGTAAACAGGGGGGGCAAAGGCAAAATCTGAACCCAGACTGAGAATGCAGGACCTCAATTTCCCCCAACACCTAGGCTCCAAACAGCTGATGGGGTGGTTAAAATAGTCACACTTTGGCAATGTTTTGCTGGGATGTACGCCCTGAGTGTGTTTGATAGCCACTGGCACACTTCTCATAGATGTGCGAAAACTTCATAAAATAGTCACAAAGAGTCCCAGAGTCCCACCTGACCTGTGATTGCCAGTTACAATTGATTTGGTGTCTTGAATCCATCTCATTTGAGGGACGGGGGGATATATCTATTTGTTAATAGATAAAAAATAAAATAAAAAATGGACACCTTTCTGTTTTTTCAGCAGTCTGCAAAAATCATCAGAAATCACCTGTAGTAGACAAGGAGAATTCAAGGGCCCAAATAACTTGAGCTCTTTTTTTTTTTTTTTTTCCCTTGCAGAGATAAGGCCATTGTCGGCACAGGCAGAACCTGTCTAGGCCAATTGAAGAGACACCGTCAAAATTACTTGCCTTGCCCATCAAATTTACATGCCACAGCAATGACTTTCAGTCAGTGTTCATGCAGAGCTACATTGAACTAGTGTCAGAAATTACATTCCTGGGTCTACCATGAATGTTTACAAGTGAAACCAAATTTCTAGCATAGCTCAAGGTGTGGTAACGCAGGGCTAAGTTTATAGGCCTACATTTTACATCATGACTCAGTTGTTTTGAACGACATTTTGAGGCACACAAAGGGGCCTATTTTCCTCATTATGCCGAGTGGTATAAGGATCTTGTCCTCTAAAAATCAGACCCCTTTTAACTTTGAATTGATTTATCATGATTTTAATTGCTTGGGGTTTCAACCAGAAAAGAAGAGCGAGTCTAGGGAGTTACACGGGATGAGGAGACAAGGCCCAGAAAACCATCACAAGAGCTACGCAGGGCTTTTATAGGATCCCCTCTTCACCACCTGAACATGCCAACCACATCCATCAGAACCTCTCAGCTTTGCAGGAAAGGTTTAGGTAGAACTTCTGTTGATTTTGATAACCTTTAGTATTATGGGACAGTCAAGCAAAAATTGTTTTCTTGCCTCCGCACACTAGAAAGGCATGCAACTGCAACCTGGAGTGCCTTGTTCCTGCTTTATGAGCTACCAAACCCATATGTTCTGTGAAAAATCACATCCTCGTTGCCTTTCTTCAAGTTCCACAAGCATCTCCATGAAAGCAGTCCTATTTCCAAAGTACCGCCTGAGATTCTAGCATCCAGCACATCTCCACTGCAGCCACTGGGGAAAAGAAACCATCCTAAAACTGCGGGGATTTCGGTGGCCACAACAAAGGGTGGCTGGGCTGCACGAGGGTGTAGCCAGACGCTGCTCCACAGACACGGTCTGAGCAGCGTGAGGCTGCTCCACTGTCCCTTGCTGCTCTCCGCTCCAGCAGCAGAGCGGCGCCACCAGCACAAGTGTTTGTGTGAAGTTGGTGTGGTTGTCTGACGGCGTGCCGGAGGCTGCTGGAGCTGACACTGCCAAAACTGCATGGAAACAAGTTAGGGGAGAGTTGGATGCTCTGTTCTGGCAACTCAGACGTTGTATAATTCATTTTGCAGGGATTAGCATATAAAGAAACTAATTGGTGAGGTTGTCCCGTTGTTCTGAGTTTTTCTGTAGACCCAGGAGCTGTGCAAGGAGGGTGCTTGGCTGGTCTCATGCAGGGAGGAGCGAGTTGTGGAGCAATGCTGAGATGCCTTAACCTAACATAATTTGATCACCGAGTTAACATGTTCTAAGTTCTGAAGCAAGTTTTTAATAAATATTTTTAAAATGGTAGGAAAACAACAACAGCAACAACCACCCAGCAGCATAAGCCCAAACAGCTGCCTGGAAAACACCCGCATGGTGACAGCGGACTCTGCGGACAGGATGCTCACAGCAGCCTAGCTGTAAGCCGAGCTCACACAGCGCTAGGAGCCGGGGGGCTACCACGCACAGAGATCTGCTGCCATCTTTGAGCTTCTGGAAGGGGATGAGATTTTTCTGGAGTATTCAGGTGATCCCGGAGCACAAGGCTCACAGCTGTGACATTCTGAATTACCTGGGCACTTCTGAGGAGCCTCCATCTGCTCTTTGATTACAACCAGTAAACACTCACAATACTCAGCTCTCAGGTCCCTGGCCTGGTAAGGCACACAGAAAAGGCTCTGACTTGATCACCAGCACAGAGGGAAGTTCTTTATTACCATTACCATTTTTTGAGCTTTCCAGTTTTTCCTCATTATCATTTTGTACTTCCTATAGATTTCCTCTACAGTGGTACATACAAGGTCCCTCTCTGTAGCTTTCGACACATTGTCCCTGGAGTTATTTCACTGCTAGTGTAAAGAAGTAAACCACATTAACTTTTTTCCCCTTCGACCATATCTGCTCATTAAGTAAATGTTTACAAAGAAGATATCTATGAAACCAACCTTGAAACAACAGGGATCACTGAGCTTCAGCAAGAGAGGAGCTTGTTGGTGACAGCGTACGTCCCTTCCAGTTTTCCTCATCTGATACCAGATCTCCTTATTACATTAATTGGTTAGATCTCAAGAAACACTATGCTGTCTTCTGAAAACATACAGCTGAGTTAAGAATCTGAACAGAGAACTTACACACACTGTCTCCCGTGATTGTTCAGCCCTGCCATGGGCAGAAGTGGAGGCCAAATGAGATAACAGTGGGAACCAACCTGCAGGTCTAGCATGGGCACAAGCGGTCATGCAGCACACAAAGCACCAGGGCTGTCCTGCGGGGAACTTTACAGTAAATACACAGAGGCAGCAGTTCAAATGCTGTAATAAAACACCCAGGTAAACCCAAATTCCAAACCAGGGGGAATAATGAGATATGCCGTTTGAAGCAAGGCAGTCAAGAATGTAAACAGCATCTGTAATTTAAAAATCATTGAAATTGTAATAGGAGACTAGGTTAAAAGGGCCTTTCATGTAGCAAATTAGCTTAAAGATCTAGCTAAAGAATTTATTTCGTATTCATAACAGTTAACGCAAATTGCATTATCAGTCCATACATGTACCTTTCGACTCACTTTTCCTTTGCCTCCTATTTCAGCACACAAGCTCATGTTACACCGAACCTTGACACAAGGAAGCTACTTCATTGGGCATCAGCATTGTACTGACAGTAAAACTGTGTCTTCAGCATGGCTTACCAGAATCTGCAGGATTCATAAAACCTGAACTTTGACCATCATCTCAGATGTCAATAAAAACTTACCAGCTTTTTTTGTACAAGGTTTTAAGATTTCAAATGCATTGTTTGGAGGAAAAGATTCTAATAATTCAGAAAATCACCAGTAGTCCTCCCTCCCACCCCCCACTCTTCCTGGTATTCCTGTGCCACTGCTGCAGCATGGGGAGCCCCAGAGAGGGCAGTGGGATCGAAGAGCAACCATCTGCCTTGCAGCATCACCCTGACCACGTCCTGCAGCCTTTCAGGTGTGCTGGCAGATGTGCTTGTTGAAGTATATACATTTATTAGCCAAAGCCTCCTTCAATTTAATGAACATTGGGTACAGAAATATTTTTGAGGTGTTTATTGTCTGTGTTTTACAGCAGGGCGTAAAGTAGTGGAATGGCTGTCACATTTTACTGAGCTCAGTGACAGAAGCAAACATTTAATTCAGCAATATAAATACTTCCATTAAACATAGTCCTCACGTTTAGAGCCCAGGTGGCAAGAAGCATCACACTAGCTATGCCTTTTCTCTCACCACAGACATTACATGTGCAATACTTCATCAAACTTAATTTTCAGGAGGATAGCTTAAATACGAAAAATTAAAATAAACATCAAAGAAGCACATCATCCCCGCTTGGGCTGTGGCAAGAGCAAGGGGAGGACAGTAAGTGAGGGCTGAGTCTCAGAGCAGCCTCCCAGGTCGACCTACCACCTCTCCATCACTGGTTGTGGACTTTGCCAATTCCTACAGGCCACATCCTCCAACATGCAAAGCACCCAGTCAAGTAGTGTTATATCGACCTGCTTTAACTCATCAGAAACACTTGTGTAAGTGAGACAGGCGGCTGGTGAAGGGGTTGGACTGGGAGGCCCCAGTGCAGGGGCTTCACCGCCCACCCTCCTGCTCCAGCCTTTGCTGTGTAACCCCTCACACACGGCCTGAGAAGCAGCCTGGCTCCCCACAGACAGGACAGCAAACCCAAGCAGCGACCCAGCTCCTCGCCTGGACAAGCGGGAAGCTGTGCTGGCGTGAGCCAGAGGAGAAGCCAAACCTCCACACACCTCGCAGCCGAGGGGCCTGCAGCTTGCAGAGCCTCACTGCGAGGACCGCACGTCCACTCCACTTCGAGCCAGCTGCTCCTGGGCCACAGTCTGTGAGCTGGGCAACACATCTCCCAGCACGTTCGTTGGGCTGTGGTCACACTTTGCCCAATGTCCAAGTTCCACACACCCTGGAAGGCCCCTAGTGCTCAGGAAGCGTTGGCGGAGGCTGCGGTGCGGGAGGCAGGCACGGCCCAGCACGGTTGTGCTCGGCAGCCCTCTGCAGGCACCGCAGGCGAGCGAAGCAGCGGGAGCTCAGGCACTCGTTTGCACTCACAAACAAAAGCCTGAGGCTTGGTACTCCTGCACATCCCTCCCCTCTTCCATGCACCCTGCAGTCATTGCCTCTTTCATATGTCCTGGTTAAATTGGGTTTCTACTCTCTAAGGAAACAGCCAATTTATACAGGCAGGACGGAGCAGCTGTATCTGCCAGTCTGGATTTACAATACCTCCCCTGGCAAATCGTCATAATCTCAGCTACAAGTGTGATTCAGCTGGCACACCACGAGCAGGGCAGCAGCATTCCCACAGGCAGCAGGAGCTGCTGAAGAGGAGCCAGAGTTGCCACCTACAGCACAAGCCAGGAGGCTTCCCTCACGACTCATCTGCTGGATGAAAGCAGCAGCAATCTGTCCCGCTCCCTCCCTGAAAAGGCCTTGCTTCACCCAGTGCTTGGTACATCAAAGCACCCACAGCATCCACGAGCCCCCAGGAAAAGCAGCCCAAATACATCAGTGCAGACACAAAGCTAAAGTCAGAGCAGAGTCCACAGCCACTGATGCAAATAAGAATGAAAACACAAGAAGAAAGGGAAAAATATGTTTTTATTTATTTATTTTTATTATTTTTAATCCTTTGTTGCTCTTACGGTTGGTTCTTGGAGCAATGGGCTGCATGGACAGACTGCTTGTCACTGTCACCAGAGGACTGCAGGAGTCACCAGCAAGAGCTGAGGTCTGAGGCGCACCAAGCAGAAAAACGATCAGAAGAGGTTCAGCTGCAATCTCTAGAAATCAGTACTTGGTTGCCAACTCTTCTGCTCTTCTGGGAAAAGCCACATTCTGGAGGGATAATGCCCCACCTCACCCCCAGGTCACCCTCAGGGGCAGCAGAAACTCCTCAGGGCCAGCAGCAACCTCCTTCACCCAGCTGCAGCTCTGCCCAGCACACGAAGGCTGCAGGGCCAGGCTGTGGCTTCCAGAAGTGCTTTGTAAAAGTGATTTTGGCCAGGGTTACTCAAGTAACGTGGCCACTGAGGAGCTTCATGCAAAATGTTTTTATAAACATTTAAACCATTTGTAAACAAGATTTCATAACTTGGCAGTCGTACTCGTATTTTGTTATTTTCACCCAAAGCATGCTGCTGTGCTGAGAGCTGCCTTCTGCCTCCATCCATTACGATATCAGAGTCCAAGGGGGAAGTTGCAATGAAGACTTGATGCTTCTCCTGCATTTTATTTTGGAATTTCTTACTTGTGCTTACAAGGGTCACTTGAGGTTGTTTCATCTGGAAAGGTGGATGTATCCTGGTCAGGAGGCACACCACAGGGCACTACACTTTGTCACAAGTGCTGTAACTGCACCACTATGAAACAAGCTGAGAGGCAACAGGAATCTGCAGCACTCCTGCTACTCTGTAGCACCTACCCCAACTTTTACTTTATATTTTCAGGGTTCCCTCACGTGATTTTTTTTTCTTTATATTGTCAAACTCATTCCCTCATGTTTTTTGTTTATATTGTCAAATTCATCTGCATAGCTACGTGAGGACAGATGTGACTACAGCCAGGAACCAGGCCCACCCTTCACCACAAAGCACACCTAGGCTTAAACACCAAACCACCAATTCATTACAACCCCACAAAACATTCAAAACTGCACCTTCTCCTGCCAGAGCAACCAAATCCCTCCCGGCACTGACATCTCTCACTTGCATATTAAATGCTCACCCCCACCAACCTCAGCACACAGCCTGGTCCCTGAAGGAAGGAGGCCATCCATGCCCGGTGATTGCAGACCAGGCTCACCTGGGGGCACCCAGCCCATGCTTCTCCTCTCACAGGCCTGCCATGGTGATAATGAGGTCTGCTTAATTGCTTATTATATTGCCCTTCCTTTTGCCTCGTCTCTAGGCTGCAGGTGGGCTGAGAGAAGGGGACGTCCTATGGCACAAGGCAAGGCTGTGCTACAAAAGCTCTCCTTCCCCCCTGCCTGACTTCCCTTCGGGCTGTTGCACTTTCTGCACTTGGCTGTGTACTGCTGCATTGATCCGATCCAGCTTTAGCTCCACAGCTCACCTCCTGTAAGGAGGCAAAAATGGGTCACAACGAGGCCTTCAGGGCCTGCGGAGAGCCTGGAGGGAGCGGAGCAAAACTTGCTGCACATGCAGGAGGGCAGGGGCTATTGTTCTACTTGTAGTAGTCACAACTATTGGTGCAAAATACCACTGAAATGGCTGTGAGGGTTGCGCTGGCCCTTCTCAACACCCCACCGGCTGGCTGTTCCCACCAGAAGGCCCTGAGTCTGCCTGGTGGCCGCTGTCCAAGGCCTGCTCGCAGCACCTCAGCCATGACACAGCCACCTCCTGCCGCAGCATGGCCACGAGCAGAAGAAATGAGCTGGTTCTGGCTCTTCCCCAGCACGCTGCTCGCCCACCAGTGCTCCACCAGGTCACTTCAGCTCACATCTCTCTGACTGCCCTTCTGTAACCCAACGCTGGGCTCTCCCTGCACCTATGGCCCAGCCCCCTCCTTGTGCTTGGGCAATGGGAGCTGTGAGATGGGCTCCATACCTGGCCTCAGAGCCATGTCTGGTCGGCTCAGCACAGTCCCCAGCACCCTGCTGCAGGACCCCAGTGGCTGATACCCCCGTGCGACTCTCGCCTTGGGGATGGGTAGTGATGTCCTGGCTGCACGTAAGTTGGGAGCAGCCATCATCGTTGTTCCTATCAGTGTTCACTTGAGAAATGAAAAGGCTCACTTCTCGTACACCATGTTGGCCTATATAAATAATAATGAACTCTCCAGTCTTGGGCACCTGTTCCAGATGCTGCATCCACAGGGTGCAAAGACTTGCTGCATAGCAAGGAGCTGACTTCTGCCTTCACAGTCAGTGCCCAAGACATTTTTCTGGGTCATTAACAGTAAACCTTATGGCAGTGCAGAAGCCTGCGTTTGGTGTGGCCACCCTTTGCCACTGCCCAGCAGGTGTGCTGCAGCCCCAGTGCTGCGTGGTCCCCGTATGACTGGCAGCAGAGAGGACTGCAGAGAGAAGAGAGGAACACCAGCGAAACACAGGGCAGCTGCCTCAGTGTCTCCATGCTCAGGGCAGAGCTGCTGCGAGCCCCAAGTCCAGTGTTGTTTCAGGAGATACATGCAACCTGTCTACACATGGCAATAGATTATTAAAAAGTGTTCACTAATTCAATTAACACATCAAAAAAGTTCATGTGACAGTGAATATCAACATAATGTAGGTGCAGATGTATAAACCCATGTATGAAAGACACCTGTCAGGAAGCGTGAGATGTAAATATTTAGAAAAGGATCAATTTTAAATGCACTGTAATTCCTGCAGGAAGCTACTCGAGACTACTGCATGAGTAGCAGAGGGATTACAACCCGCTTCCTGTGCCCACAGCCTCTGGTCCAAGGGTGAGGACAGACACCCACGCATGTACCCCCACTGAGTGGATTCACACATTGTTCAGCTCCCCCCAACCTGCGAGTGTGCAGCCCGTGCTCAGCCCCAGAGCTGCCACTGCTGCATCACCCCAATTCTCAGGTGCCAAACTGTACATCCACACTGCAGACAGCAAGGAAAAAAAAAAAAAAAGTGTTGGTTCTGGATTAGATTTGCATATTCCTGCTCAAACAGCACCTGCAGACTCCCCCAGAGACTTCCACGAGCATCTACTAGGGGCCGAGAGCTTGTCCTCCTCTCACCTCTGCAT